CCATTCTTTCTCGCAAAAAATATTGTTTAAAATGAACTTCAATGTTGGACAACAGCAGATAGATGAGCAACAGGCAACAAACAGAAAAATTTATTTAAATATGGTTTGTTTAAATATATTTACTCCTAATTACAAAGTTCATACCCGACCACTAAGTAATGATAAATTGTACCGCTTTAAAACCTATTTACGTATAGCTTATTACTCATCATATGTCATTATTTATATTTCTATTTCTCGCAATAAAAATGTCACTAGTCTTCTGTACTGAAAAAAATAATTTGTGAATTTAATAACAATATTGAGGGCTATTACCATAGTATTACTTGCCACCTTACTTGCATCTTTGACAGTCGTGAATCCTGTGTAGTGGATAGTGTAACGAGAAATAATGATCCCCACTATGTTATATGTTAAATTATGTTATACTAGCGTGTACCAGCGACTTCGTTCGCGTCGAATTAATCATTTGTAATGGTAATGATAAAGCAAAGCAAGAATTTCCATTAACATACAAACTGGATAAAATTTTCTCACATTTATGTCAGCATGAGAAAAAACAATATGGCGATATTATTATATAACTTGGAAATAGTTGAGGGGTAGTTTCATCTCGTTGGAATTTGACTTTCGAAAAATCCGTTTGCCAAAAATAAGCTTTTTACGTCAAGCAGTTTAAGCAGAATCGTGGTTTAGAAATTACCCAACTTTTTGGAACACCCTGTATGATTTTTTAAAAAATTTCAAAATATGTAAAAAAAAAACAAATAAATTATGCTTGTCCAAGCGTTTTCCCGAGAGACTAATCGTTTTTTAAATAACAAATATTGTAATATTTGAGGGGCGTTTTCACCCTCTTGGAATTTGAGATTCGAGAAATCCTTCCTTATCTAATATCGAACCTCTACACCCCACAGTCAATTCGTTTGCCAAAAATCAGCTTTAAACGTCAAGCAGTTTAAGCAGAATCGTGATTACTCAATGGTCATATTTTATGAGACACCCTGTATAAATTTATAAAAAATCTTAAAATATGTAAAACAACAAAATAAAATATACGTGTTTAAGAGTTTTTCCGAAAAACTCACCGGTTTTTAAATAAAAAATATTTTAATATTTGAGGGATAGTTTCACCTCCTTAGAATTCGAGTTTCGAAAAATCCCTTCTTATCGAACCTCTACACCCTAAAGTCAATCTGTTTTCCAAAAATCAGCTTTTTACGTCAAGCGCTTTAAGCAGGATCGTGATTAATCAATGACTAGATTTTTCAAAACACCCTGTATACATTTTTAAAAAATCTTAAAATATGTAAAAAAACAAAATAAAATATGCGTTAATATACGTTTAAGCGTTTTTTTCGGAAACTTGACAGTTTTTTAAATAAAAAATATTGTAATATTTGAGGGGTGGTTTCACCCTCTTGGAACTGGAATTTCGAAAAATCCTTTCTTATGGAACCTCTACACTCTAGAATCAACTTGTATGCCAAAATTGAGCTTCTTACGTTGAGTGGTTTGAGCAGGATCGTGATTAATCAGTATGTCAGTCACTTAAGGATTTTATATATTAGTATAGATGGGAGCGAAACCTGGATGTCGTACCGCCGACACATGAACGCATTAAATAAGTTGCAACAGAGACACCTTAGACAACTCTTAAAAATCCGGTGGTTTCATCATACTACTACATAACCTAACCTAACCTAACCAACTTCAATGAATGTATACTCGTTCGACAGAGAATATATTTTTTTAATTTATGTTATACTGAAAGATTCGCTGAAACGCAACGTTTCGGCACTATAGGCGCAAATCTGAAAAAAGTTCAAGAATTTCACCATCTTTTGGGTCACCTGAGTTGAGCGGCGGTCGAGCAACCGTGCAAACCTATAACAAACTTCTGTTTCACGGCAAATGAACCAATCAAATCAATAATAATTAGCTTTCCAACACTTTTTTCCATGTGACCCTTCTAATTTGATTGGCCTAAGAATAGAAAAGGGTAAATTGAGAGATGAATTTGGTCACCTAGTTTTTCAACAGTATATTTTATTGAACTCTTATACAACTGTCTAGAATAACTAATTATCTTTAAATTAAAAAAAGAAGTCACAAAACTAAAATTAAGCATCACGTTCTCTAGTCTGCGACTACTTTAAGAAGTGCGCCAACAAAAACAAAACCGGAATCATGAAAACAAGAGAAAAAGTGCATATTCCAGATACTTAGTGGGTGCGGTGAGTAATGCTTTAAATGTGCTATTTAACAACTACAAAAAATATAATAGCAAGACGTTAAACAATGATATCTGTAGAAAATGTCTATACCTGTGTGGCGGATTCATCTACACTGAACCAAAAGTCGACATAAATATAATGAAAAAGTTTATTAATATAACGAACAAAATCATTAATTTTGAGCCGATGAACGATTTCATTGGCACAATGAAAAGTAATTCATTAACTCTATGAACTTTAAGTTCATTAAATCAATGAACAGTGTTCATTAATTTGAAGATCACATTCATTGGTTGAATAAACAGATTTCATTAATATAATGTACCTAAATCCTTATATTAATGAACCTTATCATTAATACAATGAAATAATTACATAACCTATTTAGTTATACATTTAAAAGTCGACACTATTAGTAACTCTTGTTACACCGTATAATCGATGATGAAGATCGCTGTCATTGATATGCAATGTCGTTGATAGTCATTTCCCAGCCAACTACCTGAAATAATTCAACTATAAATAGATTTCCATTTGAAAAACCCCTTAGCTACAAAGGTAACAAAATAATAAGTAGTAAAGTTTTTCCATTAGGGATTATTAATAAAAAACAAGTGCAATAAACTAATAATAATTTATTAAACTCGATATAGCATATACAAATTAAAAATTAAAAAACTCGAATCGACGAAGAGAATAGTAATGTTATTATTAATTTTAGGGAAATTATAATAAGAAAATTAATTTATCAGTCGATATCCTGAGGGATTTCTACAAAAAGACCATTTCTTCATTATATTAGCTGTATCCTTATACTTGATAACGTCTAGACGAATTTGCAACAGGCTTTCCAAGTCGCATCAAGTGGGTCCGATGTTAAATTGTCGAATTTGAGGGCTTGAAGGCAGGTCTCAACATCTTCTTCCGGTACTAAAACGTATATCAAAATAATTAAAATGCCAAATATTAAAAGAACATTCGAATTTACCATAATCAGTTCCATGCCTCTACTTGTTACTATGTTTTTCTTCTTTTTGTTTTTTATCTTCTGAAACATATTCTCACATATCTCACACAGCGGAATTTGATTTGACAACACAACAAATTAACTACAATACGATAGGACTTTTATTTAAAATATTTAAAATATTGAAAAGAACACTTACCGCTCTAATGAAACTAAAGCCTCACTGAATACCTCAACCACACAGACGTTATTAAAGTGCCAAAGTAACCGATTAAAATGGCGGACATTTAAGCCGTAATATTTTATTCGTGATATTAATAACCGCGTACATTAATATAATGTAGTGTGTTCGTTGTATTAATAACATTGTTCATTGTCACAACAAATATAATGAATATGTGTTTATTAAAGTTTCAGCACTAAAATAAAGAACGCGTTCATTATATTAATGAAAATCTTACATTAATTTAATAACCAGATTTTCATTATATTGATGAAATTAGATTCATAGTATTAATAAATCGGACATCGATCTATGATTAACAAATCATTATATTAATGAAAAAAATCATTGTCCCAATGAAACAACAGTTCATAATCAATGTTCATTAATATTAATATTATGAACAATATTTTTTTCAGTGTATCCAAAAAAATCCTTTATGGATATTTCGCTATGATATCTGGTATTGCAGACCATGCTTGCTCCAAGCACCACAAGGTAAAGTGGTCGGAAGCCGGTCGTTCATAAGAACATTATTAGAAAAACCGTTTTATATCAAACAATAAAAACATCTTTAGCAATACTTAAATCCCAATTTGGAAATATCCACAACAATAAGAGATCCACTTTAAAACGTCATAATGTTTACTTCCCTAGTAAACAACTTAAAGCTTCATTCAGAACGTCGAAATTAGTAGAATAAATTAGTGGTTTCAATTAGCGTAGAAGTTTGTTCCTCTTATTTCAATGTAAGCATTCTGAACGTCAAAATTAGTGGTAGTCATTTTCAATTAGTAGAAAAAGTTATCAAACTTTTAACTTTTCCACTAATTATACTTCAAAATTTATGAGAAATGTTATTTTGGCCTTTGATTATCATCCGTCAAGATAAATTGTGGTTAGAAATCAAAATTGTTTTATAAGCAGAATATTAGGCTTTCTCTATGGATACAACAGACTACTGCAAGCTGTTGCTAGGATATTGTATTAATTTTAATTGTGTTTTGTAGACATTGTGAATGATCGTAAACTAAAAAGTATAAAGTGTAATTGAAACCACTAATTTATTCCACTAATTGCGAGGTTCAGAATGACGCTTAACGCTCAGTAGTTTTAGGATTTACATTAAATCATACACTTGATATCAGTCAGTTGTCAGTTATACGCATGTTATACGTCTGACTGAAACGTGTGTAAAATGTCAAAATTAAAGACAGTATCTGTCCAAGGATATATTTTATTTCATAAAATTATATTTTGATATAAAAAGTGAAAGGTTCTTGCAATATTAATATGCAATATTTAAAAGAAAAATATTTCTTGTCAGATAACTGCTATTTTGTAAAATCCTCAGTTTTCAAAAATAATGAAAAACTGAAAATAACAAAAAGTTTCATTATTTTTGAAAGCTGAAGATTTCACAAAATAGCAGTTATATGTGAGAAATATTTTTATTTTAAATATATTTTGATATTTATGTTATTTAAATTAATTTACTTACTCTTTTACTCAGACATCATATTATCCACTATAAATAGAAAATAAATTGTGATATTGTAATTTATTTTTTCAGGCATGGGTTTCCTGGTATGGCTATTAGCAATAATTGGCGCGATAGCAATTTTATGGAAAGTGAGTTCGATAGCAAGATGGTTTATAAAATGGACGTTATTTATTATTGTTTCGCTTGTGAGCGCAACCTTGCCAATTCCAGTGATGCTTCTAAAGCCAAGGGACCCTAGAAATGCTTTGTAAGTATGATCACAGTTTAAAGATCTAAGCAGTGTCTCATTAGAGTCCATGGAAATAGATGGTAATGGTAACTTTTTTTTTGGAAAATATGAGTAGGCAAACAACGTACAGCTTTTTAGTGACATAGGTGACTCTTCACCCGCAAGTGAGCTGTGAAATCCAGACACATTCCGGAGTTCCTCGAAAAATGAATAATTAATATACAGGATCTCAAAAAATAGTGTATCTTCGGTAGGTGATGCTACAGATACAAATAAAACAAAAAGTTCCTATATGAACATATGCCCTAAAATGCTTCCCGAAGAAGTTACAGCCCTCAAAAGGTTAAATAAAAATAATATACTTTGTTTTTTTTTAAGAACATTGGTAAACCGTTTTTGCTGAAATTTGATACTATTATACACATTTTAATGCCAAAGCGAATTGTGATTCTGAAAAATTCCGTAATAGACATGAAAGGGTACTTTCCATTAAGGTAGAGAGTACTATTGATGGTACTTCTTTTATCCTTAGATAAAGAGATATATAGATATATAGATACAGTAATTTCAACAAATAATGATATAAAAAGCTATAACTTTTTACGTAAAAAAGGTGCTCTTCGTTTGGTTCGAAAAGGTGAACGGTTTTCAAAATATTTGCGTTTAATGATTACGATTCATTGATTTTAGCATTAGTGAAATGATAAAATGTAAAGAAATTTTAAATAAATTAATCTCCTGATTTCACTAATGCTAAAATCGATGTATCGGAACCTCTAAACGTAAATATCTCGGAAACCTTTTCGAACAAAACGAAGGGCACCTTTTTTTTGCATAAAGAGGTCCTAGCTTTAATTTTCATTTATTGAAATTACTCTATCTATAAGAATAGAAGAAGTACCACCAGTACCCTTTTCGGGTCTTTTACGAAAATTTACACTATCGCCATTTACTTTGGGATTAAAATGTGTGTAATAGTACCAAATTTCAGTAAAAACGGTTTACCAATGTTCTTAAAAATAAACCAAATATATTATTTTTATTTAACTTTTCGAGGGCTGTAAGTTCTTCGGGAAGCATTTTAGGGCATATGTTCATAGGAACTTTTTGTTTTATTTTTTTTGTAGAATCACCTTCTGAAGTTAGTTAGATACACTATTTTTTGACACCGAGAGAGTTGGCTGTCATTTTAAATCACAGGTAAATTGTATTTACTATCATTGTTGTCTGACTTTGTCTGCCATTGTTGCCAAATTTTACTTTAAAGAAGAAATTAAAAGCAGCTTAAAATTATGACAAGTATGCCGTTTTGCCTGTGGGCAGTACTATTTGTATTGACTAAGAGTGGGTCCCATGGGACCATCCACTTCGGCCGCGAGGGACTATTGTGGCTAGGTTAGGTGAGCAGTACTAATACGAGTATTTGTACTGCATACTTTACAAATGATATCAGAATTGAATTATCCTTTATTTAATAGAGAAATCTTTGAGAATTTCATTAGTTACTAGACACTTTCGTTTTGACATTATTAAATGCTTAATTTTACTGGTAAAATTACATGTTATATACCGATAATTTCAAACCAATTTGCCATTGCACATACAATTATCATGAGCTAGTCTGTCCAAGGAGCCAGGAAAGATTTTGGCAGATAGCATTCAAAAAATGATATAAATATAAAGAACATAAAATTTTCTTGTGAACTAAAATGACGGGCACTAATGTCACTGTAATGGATCGTTGGATGGACTTCTAATCATAAAATAGTACTCTGAATAGAAAATGGCACTCTGAATAATTTAAAAAAATCGTAACTTAATGACAATATAGAGTGAGCAGATATTGACTAGAATCATAGTTCTGTTAAATATACTAATTCTTAATCAAGGAGCCTTGAAAAAATATATTGGATCATCTAATGTTTTCGTATTTTGTCTTGACCGGTTAAAATAAGTCCAAACTGAGGCGTCTCGCACTATTGGAATTACATGTACATATTCTGCCTATTCTGGGTAGTTGCTGGCAGTTATTGGCAGTTTTACGACAGTCGCCTATAATAATTACGTGGCAGTCATAGGCAGTCTTTTTTGCATTCATTGGCATTCGCTTGGCAGTACATGTAAATTTTTTTTATCCAAGTGACACACCCCTCGACCCAAACGTATTTTTAATCAATTTCAATGTTTTTCAAATTGAACGAGAGTGGGTCATTAGCATATTTGGAATTTGGAAGAAGCATTTTTTAACGAATACTTTTGTACGACACTCTTGAATTTGCGAGTCAAATTATCGTGATGAACACAAGTCATTGCACTCGACACTACCTATGTCCCCGGATTGTCTTTACAAGAGCAGAGAAAAAAATTATCATAGATATTTTGAGAAAAATGCATTCTTCATAAAAATTTATGCTTGTTCCAAAATGGATAATCACCTTTATACTTTTCCAAATTTCTACACCGTTTTAGAGAAAATTAAAAAAAAAACATGAAAATATGGTTGAATTTTTCCCTAAAAATCAAAACGCGTTTCTATGGTAATGTAAGTTCGTTTTCATTCTTTGATAGATTGTTATTGATAGAATTTTAATTAACGTTATATTTTTTGCTGTTTTAAAATGCCAAACACCACAAAATTTATTTAGTTCAATGCTACGCAGAGGGTGATAAGAGTTATCGGAAAATGTAATACTTTAACAACAGCGAAAACTATGACGTTAATTAAAATTAATAATATCCATCTATCAAACAATGAGATCGAACTTATAATATCATAGAAACGCCTTTTGATTTTTTGGAGTTTGAAAAAAATCAATCCTATTTTCAAGTTTTTCTTAATTTTCTCTAAAACGGTATGGAAATTTGGAAAATTATAAACGGGATTAACCATTTTAGAACAAGCAAATTTTATGAAGAATGCATTTTTCTTAAAATGTCAATAATAAAAAAGTTTTCCTCCTGTAAAAACAATCCGGGATGTACTGTAGATTGAAATTTAATATACAATTTTGTTAATTGAAAATGTCAAAAAATGACATATGATATGTCATTCTATTCAGAAGAGCATTTTCTATCGAATTAAGTAAAAAACACCGAGAGTATCATTTAAAAATCAAAAATTTCAGTCATTTCCGGTGGAACAGGAAGTAACTGAAAACAATTGAATATGTCAATTAATCCTAATGTCATATAGTAATATACCAAGTATTGTTAGTTTATCTGAAAAATTAAAAAAGGTATTTGTGGTATAGGGGTGAGCCACTCTTTAGAAATATCCGGTAAATTGTACTGTTTAATACGTTTTTAAGTACTTTTTCTTTTGGAAAATGGGAATTACTATGGCCACAGAACAGGTACCTGTTCTGTGCTATGGCAATCGAGGTAAATAATAAGATCGTGAAAGGCTGAAAGTAAAATGTGATTTTATAATACGTTAAGGGAAAGTTGGCAATATAACTTTTTTACAAGATTATATGACCGAAAAAAACTGGTTGAAAAGTTATAAAACAAAAAATATATTCAAATTCTATAGCTAAAACTTCCTTGCCAATTCAATCTACCCTTTATCTTTTACTTTTTCAAGATTTATTTTTTTTGAAAATATAAATATATTAAATCATATTTTACGATATATATTACATATTGTATCTTCAATGTTAATATTATTGAACATTAAAAGTAATGATCGAAATGTTAACAAGTGGTCATGTCCAAACATTTCCCCTAAAAATTAAAAATATTTATAAACTTTTTATCGATGCATTTATATACATGTGGACCTCATAAAATTTAATAACGAGTTAAACCAATAAATATTAAATGGCGTATTAAATATTTTTAGTCGCTTTTAAAAATATCAGCTTAAGGCACACAATTTCATTAACTTTCTAACTCTGACATTCCTTAACGAGCTTAAATAATAATACAAATTATATTAAAGGGAAATTCGAGTTTTATTAAAAAAGAGATCTTAGAAAGAAATACGCAGTCGGTTAAATGGAGGCAAAAAATGTTAAATGGAGTAAAAAGTAGAGATGAGCAAAACTGCGATTTTCCAATCACAATTGAAACTGCGATTGCGTTTTTAAATCGCTGCGACTGTAACGTGCGATTACGATTGTAATATTAATTTACTATTGTTTAATTAATAAAGAAATAATATACAGTGTGTTCCATTAAAAAAAAACGAAGAAAAACTATAATATATCTTAAAAAGTTTGGCATAGAATTTTGGACACCCTGTATTGTTTAAGATTACGATATTTATGTCAAAGTAAGTACAGACCCACTACAGTAAATATCTAATATATTTTTGATTTTAGGACATTTCTAGTATTTTTAATATTTAAAAAAAAAGGTCTGAAAAGTATTATTTATTTATTAATATCTTTGAAACTGTCTAAACATATTTAATAATGCTTTAGGATTATGTAAAGTGATTAAAAAGGAAGCCAAAAATTCTATAATATATAGGGTGTTCTATTTAAAAAAAGAATCATCTCGATCCACTCACACTTTTTTGGGCCACCCTGTAGAAGTTAAAATATTTTCCTGAAATACATCCTAATACATAATTTAGGTCTGCGCTTAAACAAAATTCTTAACTTTTTTATTATAGGAGCTACAGATGCCCGACGCACTATTGGCGGACCCTGTATAATTGTCTGTTTATGGTGTATGTACCTATAGCTTAAGAGTAAAAAAAAGTTAATAAAATAAAAATCAGTTGTTTAGTTTTTAAGTTTTTTTAACATCTGCAACCTTTGTCTGCAAACACATAGTATAGGTATTAAAACTATATAATATGTTGCAACTGCTACAGTTACACATACCTACTCTTTCTACGGTTCTCAGTTACTAGCTACCGTAATTTTGGAGTTACGATTTTTTAAAAATTTTAACCCCCTCCCATACCCCCTTACGAACCCCCACCCTCACCAAAAACTAACGGCCAGATTCTCGGGTGCCACAGTATTTTTGTGCCAAATTTGGTTAAAATCGGTTTAGCGGTTTTTGAGTTATCGTGTTACAGACAGACAGACGGACAGACAGACGGACAGACAGACAGACAGACAGACAGACAGACGGACGGACGGACGGACGGACGGACAGACAGACGGACAGACAGACAGACGGACAGACAGACGGACAGACAGACGAACAGACAGACGGACATACATACGGACATACAGACGGACATACAGACGGACATACAGACGGACAGACAGACACCATGAAAGTATTTTGTATTTAGGTCATTTATGATCCAAATAACTCATTTTGAGTGAAATTAAAAAAAACTTTTTTTTGCCGATCTTAATAGCCTACCATACCTATTGGTATGGTCGGCTAAAAATACAGAGGGTGCCATTTAAAAAGCAAAAGTTGTAGTCATTTCCGATGAAACAGGAAGTGATCGAAACGAATTGGATACATGAATCAATCCTAATTTATGTCATATGCTAATATATCAAATGTTGTTTTTTTATCAGAAAAAATAAAAAAGTTGTAGGGGGCGAACCACTCTTGAGAAACACCGTCAATAATATTATGATCTTGGCTGGGGGTGCCCCCTGGTGCTCCAAGGTTGAGACCAGTAGAAGTTAGTCCACGTATTTCTTTGACTTGGTGCTGCCATCGTAGAATTTAGGTTTTTGGTGAGGTTGTCTCCTCTTGGTTCGGGTGGGTAGCAAATACTCCCCCCACTCTCCGCCTGTAATACATAACCACAGACCACAGACAGTAGAGGGTGACTGGTATGACGGACAGGGTAGTCCCATCTGATATCGTTATACATATTGGGCCAATTCCCTGGCTACGATACTACAGCCAGGGACAAGACAGTGAGATGCTCCTTAGACCCAGCTAAAGTGCCAGAGGGGGATTCCCCCTAGCATCATTTTTATCCCCTTAAGAATAAGAAGAATAAAGTATTTGAAATCTGAATAACAAATAAAGAGGATAGCAATGTTTTGTAAAACACAAAATAAAATAAATAACGTTAAAAATGGAAATACACAATACGTAATGGATACTTATATGACATTCACAAAATCATAGGTTGACAACTTAAGATAGTTGGCATTTGCGTGGTTTTGCATTGTTATCTTTCATTTTTTTTCTTATATTACTTAAAATCAGCATGTTCACAATTGTTTAAATTATACTATTATAGTATACAGCATAGGCAGATCTTTAAAAACGACTTTGCTATAAAATCAACACGGGAGCCAATATTTGGACATTTAAAAATTTTCATGCGATTTCCTATGTATCTAACAACGATACACCACCCGGTACATCGAGACTTAAAATATTTTGTCTTGCAAACATGCCAACTTTTTTAGTAAACTACGTATTACATTAAGGTTGATTGAATTTTTTATAACAAGATGAAAAAACCTTCCTAATTACAGTTCTCGGGAAAAAATCTTCTAATTAGTAAATTTCCTCATTAGCATATATACTATGCTCTCTTCCTTTATTTATCCATTTATTAATTAAGATTTCGCCTTTCAGAATTCCAGCTGCTGCTTTAAGGGTGTTCTGCAACTTGTTGGGGATAAAAGTAACAGTTGAAGGACATGAAAACATCATAAAAGACAGCGGCTGCGTAGTTCTAATTAACCATCAGAGCCAGTTAGACTTATTAGGTAAGTCTTTACTAGTCATACTTTAATATTATATTATGGTTCGAATATTTTCTTATTATTATACTTGTTTCTTTTTATCATTATAAAATATTTAATGTATGAATTGATATTTGAATTATATTTAATTCCCTGAATATCAACATATTAAATATTTTTCCTAGAATGAGGATTTGAGAATATATGAATATAATATGAGAATTTTTTTTTGAAATAAAGAAAATACTATTGAAATAATTATAAATACCTACCGCTTTTATAATAAGTAATTATATTTTGTAATAATCATAAACACAAAAATAATTATTTTGTATTTTGAACAAGGAACTTAAAAATATAATTTGTTATATATTTTTATTACACTTTTGCAACAATATATGATATTTTCAGCAATTTATTGTAAAGTTGTGAAATGTTTATTTTTATGGGAAATTGCAGAACATATTAAGCACAAACAATTGATGGAAAATAGAAACAATATTATATCTATGTACTTAATAATCAGGGTAATTTTTAAGAAAGTGGTCAATAAGTAGTCAATATTATGCTAGTAGTAATATTATGCGTTAAGGCTATTGTGCTATTATGCAGTCTTTGTGGGATAAGACAAGTAAGATAACAACAAATTGTTGTTTAGTATGTTAAATTAACGAAATTAACATATTTGGGTATTGGGGTTTCCGGAACCGGAGCTGTTTTTCAGAACCGGGAATTTCGGTACCGCGCCCCTTAGTAACCGGGATTTCCCGTTTTTTTCAGTACTTTCGGTACTCACTAATTTTTGTTCAATGGTGGTGCAGTTCATCAATAAGAAAACAAGGGATGGTTTTTCAAAATAAAATAAATAAAAAATTGAGATTTTTAATGAAAATAATATCAATTTACTAAATAATCAGTCATGATAAAATTAACATGAACCCAAACATGAACAGAAGTAAAGAAAAAGGTATAGGCACAGAATATACAGGGTGTCCCAGTTCAAACGAAGCAAGGCAATTTAAAAGCATTTCTGGTGTGAAAAGGACGAAACGGTGAAACACGTCAGATTTATTTTCAAAGGCGAAATAAGATGCGACTATTTTTGAAGTCCCTAATTCAAACCCCACGCGGGGTGTCATCCACCCTTAAAATCTTCAATGTAATGCGGGGTCGAGTAGCACATCATTTGAAAGGTTATTAATGCCTCTTTTTAGCGCCGTCTCATTTTTGAAATTTTTGTCACATTTGGTGGAATCGGGCAGAAAAATAAACGTTTCATAAATTGATGATGCTTTGATATTTGATTAATTGTATAGGAATCGAAATGGGGTCTAAAATAAGAAATTTAGATTAAGTCAACAAGATTTTGCTTAATGAATAATACACAAAAAGTAGTATACCATGCTTTGAAACAATTGTGGCGATTTACTGTAATCCAGGCCTGTTATTAATCTTAAGTTTTTTGACGCCTGACGCACTATTGCTGGACCCTGTACATACATATAAAAGTAGAGGAGAATTTTTTTTTATATTCTATCCCTATTATTTTTCAAAGCAATAGCTGGGTTTACATAAACAAAACATCCAAACATAACGAATAATTTAATTATATTTTTTTATGAAATTAGTATCAGCGTTTTTTACTACTGCGCTACACGTATCCCTGGGGTTTGATGCACTCTCAACAATTTTATCTAGTTATTAAAAATTTATTTTTTTTGAAAGCGTAAAACTCATTTTTAGATACTTTTAAAACATTTTCAATAACCCTGTTATTTTTTATTATGCATTTATATTTTTTTGTCAATTACAATAATTACATTTCATAGAATACCCATAGGTTTTAAAACTTTTGTATTGAAATCATGCAAATAAAATATTAGGAGGAATGCATGAAGTTATTCAATTAATCTTATCTATAATTATTATAAGATTATCTTATCAACTTAAAATGTTTGTAGATTATTAAGGACAAAGACACATGTGTTTTCATTTGTTTTTTTTTGTTAACAAATACATAAAAAGTCGCAAACAATATATTTTGATACTTCCATTATTATGATAAAAGTACACACTCGCCTCGGCGACCCGAGGCGCGATAAAAAAGGTGATCCTAACCAAACTGATCCTAACCAATACCCATGTGTACAGGGTATCCCACTAAGAATAGCTCTCGGCTGTATCTCGGAAAGTATTGGCCGTAGCTGCTGCGGAAAAAAATATTTGGAACTAAAGAGGCTATGGGAAATTGCTGGAAATTATTTTCAAGTTTGTAGAACAACCGCTATTGAGCGCAACTGCAACAAAAAATAAGAAAATGGAGTTTTTACACAATTTTGCCTAGATAAGGTGTACTATAAGTAACAGCTTCATAATCTTCAGTAAATTTTGAATATTTTTTGTTAGAGCCATTTTCCCCTATCTACCAAAATATATACAGTGGTGGGGTAATGTTAGATCTGTTTTTATTTGAATATTAATAACTCGGGACTGGATGATCGGAATCCAACAAGGTACGGCTCGTTTAAAAGAGCGTTTCTTACTCTATATTGTACCATATAAACAATAATAATAAGCTTTTGAACGTAGACGCTAGGGGGCGTTGTCTTACAATTTAACAAACATTGCGCGTTTTTTCCAAAAAATTAAATGCAATAGTATATGTAATTTTAGCTGACAGTAAAGAGTAGTAAAAGCCTAAAAAGTCAGCGAAAACCGCATCTTGATATCTTCTTTCAAACCGAAGATATTAGCAAAGTTATAATAAATACCAATAAATAAGCGCTTAATTACCTTATTTTTACAACACGGTATCAGTAGCCCTCTGGATTATGTCCATTCTAACCTAAAAATAAGATAGAAATAGTTAGTTTATTTTAAAATCGATGCTGACCAGAATATCATAAACTTAGATGTATTAATATCTAATAATTAAGATATTAATAATAGTGAACAAGAAACGATGATTCAGTGAAGTCATGGTAGGCTTTGGAAAAAAGTTGCTTTTGACGTAATAGTATAAACGTCAAATTGCTATTAGATCAACATTTTGATAGCGTTTTTCATCTTTTGATTGCTTTTTCAAAATGCCAACAACTTCAACTACTTCAAATAATAAAGCATTTTGAAAAAGCATTTAAAAGATAAAAAAAACGCTGCTAAGACTATCAAAATGTTGATCTAATAACAATTTGACGTTTATACTATTACGCGAAAAGCAACTTTTTCCAAAGCCTACCATGACTCCACTGAATCATCGTTTCTTGTTCACTGTTATTAATATATTAATTATTAGATATTAATACATCTGGTATTATGGTATTCTGGTATTTCGTTGATTTTAAAGTAAACTAACTAATTCTATCTTATTTTTTTGTTAGAATGGGCCTAATCAAGAGGGCTACTGATACTGTATTGTAAAAATAAGGTCATTAAGGGGTTATTTTTTGGTATTTATTAGAATTTTGCTAATATCTTCGGTTTTAAAGAAGATATCAAGATATCAAGATGCGGTTTTTGCTGACTTTTTAAGCTTTTATTACTCTTTACTATCAGCTAAAATAACACATACTATCGTATTTAATTTTTTTCAAAAAAATCTCGCTATGTTTCTTAAATTGTAAGAAAGCGCCCCCTAGCGTCTACGTTCAAAACCTTATTATTATTATTTTTATAGCATAATATAGAGTAAGAAACTCTCTTTTAAACGAGCCCTCGTTTGTTGGATTCTGATCATCCAGTCCGGAGTTATTAACATTTAAATAAAGATAGATCTAACCTTCCCCCACCACTTTATTTTAGCAGATAGGGAAAAATGATTCTAACAAAAAAAATCCAAAATTCACTGAAGATTATGAAGCTATTATTTAAAGTACCCATTATCTAGGCAAAACTCTGTAAAAAATCTATTTTCTTATTTCCCATAGCAGTTGCGCCACCTAGCGGCCGTTTTACAAGCTTGAAAATAATTTCCAGCAATTTCTCATAGCCCCTTTAGTTATAAATATTTTTTTCCGCAGGCTTTACGGCTAATACTTTCCGAGATACAGTCGAGAGCTATTCTTAGTGGGACACCCGGTACAGTAAAACTTGATTATAACGTACACTCTTCTAACGTAACTTTGTTTATAACGTACCAATCATGCAAGTCCCTGCCAACACTATGGAACATCTTGTATATTTTGTATTTCTTTAACGGACTCATTTTTACCGTACTTCTTTTGTAACGTACACAAAATCTCGATCTCAGAGCAATAAAAATTATTTTGTAACGTACTACATAATTCTCCTATCTGTTTATAAAAATGGATGTCGATGTTATCGCTAAAAAAAGGTGCCGGTGCCGACCCGTATCAATACTTAATTCCACTTTAATTTATGATGGCCATTGAAATGGTTTCAAAAGCGTGGCAGAAAGTTTTTTAGAAAACTATTAAAAATTGTTTTAAGCAAGCATGGTCCGCCCTAACAGGATATGATGAAGAAGATGAGTTACTTTTGATCCAGTGGCTTGCAAGGAAATCCGAAGAAGTAGATGAAGAGGATATTCCTTTGAGCACATGGTTGTCTAGAAACAGCTGCGAAATAAAGTCATTAAGTCCTAAAATATTAGATTGTTTTATTGAAGTTGATAACAAAGTTTTAACGTCACAGATGCCTACAGAGCAGGAGATTATATAGCAAATTGAAGATATGGAGCAAGTTGAAAGCGAAAATGACGAGGAAGAAGTGGACCTGGGTGAAATACCACCTAGCTGTGAGGAAGCCATTAATGGAATAAAAACTGTGAAACGAGCATTAGAAGTTTCTAAAGAACTATAATATCTAGATTGGATATTTATAGGAGTTTCTTTTTTAATATTTTTTGATGAGGAATCAATGAGCACTTATTTAATACTTTGGTCAGTTACTTAATGACATTAAAAAAATTAAAGGTTGCTATTTGACTTGGATTTATGTAAATTAACAAAACTGTTTTTAATCTTATCAAGGAGATCAAAATCCACAGAATATAAAGATACATC